TTTTTTTTTTTTTTTTTTTAAAAAAATTTTCTAAATTTTGGGACAATATCGTCTGATAAAAAAAAAATTTATATACATGTTTAAGCCAGAATGATTTGACATTTAAATATGATTTCCCTACAACTTTAAGCTGTTTGTAAATTTGGCATGAAGGCATCCAGAAGATGAAAGAGAGAGCACACGATATCCTAAGCATTATAAGGAAAAAAAGGATCAAAGGACCAAAAAGCCAACCAGCTTCCAGAGTTTCATGTTGTTTACCATTTGCAGCAGTGAGGAAACACTTGTTGTTGCCACGGGCCTTGTTGGTCAGGTCTTCGGTGATATCCATATGAGCATGCACCTCATCCCTTATTTCCTCAAGAGCTGCATACAGATCAGCCTCCCAGTATTCTTTATCGAAGCGATCTATCACCTCAGCCAGCTGGACCTGCAGGGACAGTGCTTGGACATTCAGACACAATGGTAATAATAGATGGAAATTTCTTCATAAAACAGGGAACAGTGCATCTCCACCTTTGTGCTGTAGTACCAGATGGCTTTGTCTTCATGTTCGCCGTCCTCCTCGCTGCAGGTGACAAGAGGGAGAACAGAAAATGTAAAAACAAAAAAGGTCAGATGAAATCTAGAACTTTGTTTGTTTTACACAGACTGCTTTCATACTTCTGAGCTGCTCACTGTGGCTGAATTTGTTATTACTGAAATTAGATGAGGTCTTTAAAATTGCAAAATGAGGCTGATTCAGGGCTCATTTTCCTTTCTCTGCAAATAGTATTATTTCCCAATAAATATCAAGCTACTGAGGGAAAGATTAGTGCCAATGTTTTAGGAGGTACGAATTATATTATTATATTATCAACTTTCTATAATTGTAGCAACTACAAATATTTTGTGGTCGAATTGTGTTACATTTGATATCATTATGTCATATTTATGTCATTTGGGGAAACAGTATCGGCCTAAAGAATCTGCTCCCAAAAAAGTAAATATGAATAAGACAATAAAACAGCTGCACATGTTGGGGATCGGTGAGACTGATGCAAAAAATAAATAAATAAATCTGTAAAATCAGTCGATATCCATTCCAGCCAAAACGGTGTTTTTTTTTTTTTGTTTTTCTTTTGGTGAGCCTTAGTTGTAGCTGATGAGTTATCAGATAACAGAAGAACATAAAGTTAGCAAACTTGCGTCCCCATAGTTAAACTGTCTAAAGAGGCCTGATGTTCCTGAAGCTAAATTCTAGGAACCAAGTTCATAGCGACAATTCTGCATCTATTAAAGCATCAATAAGAAGGAGCAGGGATTTTTATACACATGATCCTCATGAACTGATGCACCCTGTGCAGAAAAACAAAGTGGGTAACAAAGGATGTCAGTGCAGGATGTAACAAACCTCTGGCAAGTCTCAATAGAAGATGCTGTATTTCTAGTTGGCTCTCAAAAAAAAAAGGCTCAAAATGGTTTCTTTGAAGATTAGAAATGGTTTTCAGTTTAAAGTGTCCCTACAAAGTGGTAACAGAGTTACATATCATAAATTTGCCATAGCAATTCCAACATATATTTTAGCAGTTAAAGATTCCTATTTAGATTACACTTTACATTAACACACCTATCCACTTTAGTCCAGACCAAACAGACGGAAACAACATGACAAAGTCTCTGAATTGTTAACTCAGTCTGCCTAGTTCAAAACATAATTCTGATAGGATGCAATTTACATCTACAAGTGCATCCCCTTAGAATGTACAATATACAGAAAATATGGCATGTATATAAAAGAAAAATTAGGTTTCAGTGACAAAATGGGGAAAAGGAGCACTTAGTTTGTGGCCATGAATCATAGTTGATCAGTGTAATGTGCATTAACGATTGGGCTGGTGAAACGACACTGCTGTATTACTTCACTGCAGCAGAACATGCAGATAAACAGTATAAACAAAGCCTGTTATGTAGGGCTGCATTGTATATCGTTTAAGCATTGCAATCACATCTACATGTGCACGATAGTCATGTCACAGCCTGCAACGTATGAGGTACATTTATTTGACATGTTCTCATTCAATATCAGGGGTACCTAATACACACAGTGATCTACCAACCGACTTACTCAGTTTGGCAAAGGACAACATTTCTGCGGGGGAAAAAAGTACATTTGTACATAATAAAGCCATTTAAAAACTGTCATGTTTACATTTAAATTAATCTGTATACGGAGGTAAATTAAACAAAAATCACCAAATCCTAAACCTGGTCTCTAGAGGTGATTGTCAGCTTTTTAAAGCATTATGAACATTTAATTTAAACCTAATAATATATTTCAAAATTCATCCTAAAGCTGTCGTTGAATGCATCCATACCTCACTAACAGATGATATGTTCACATCAACACAAATAATGAATTCACGATTGGATTTAAAACACATCATCTAAGCATGCCATTCAGAATATTCTGATTGGATTCAGTAGAACGGTAAAGAAAGTGACAATCCAATCAGTGTAAACCAAGGGTTGGCAACCCAAACTACTCAAAGAGCCATATTGGGTCTAAAAACAAATCTGTCTGGAGTCGCAAAAATGTCAAAGTCTTATATATGCCTCGTATGGCAACACGGGCTCTAAACGTTTTATCCCACTATAGAAAAGGACTATGTGGGCTTAAATATATAATTAGCATTCATGATTAAATATTTATCCTGTCACATAGTAGCAGGAGGTGAGGGAGGAGCAGTGAACGTTCTCACTGCGTGCTGCTTCACCGCACAGTTTAGGTTTTGTTGCATTGATGAAATTATAGAAACACAATAAAGAAATCTTTCTAAGGTGGACGTGTTTCTGTTGGGAGGAGTTCCTTGAGTCATGAGGAACCAAGCAGGAACTGACATTCATCAGAGCAGAGCTCTCCAACACTGAAATCCCACATCCTCCATCACCATCATTCCTTGGTGTGATTTATATTTTTAGGATTTGTGGAAAAAAATGGAAGAAAGTTCACATACTTTTATCAGAGCGCTACCTGTTTGATCCGTGGCTGGTTTTCCTTTCTTGCAACAAAACTAGCAGCAGTAGTGGAGTTTGGAGATACAATCCACTACTTAAATCTATCTTTGTGCTCCTCTTATTTATCCAGAAGTTCTGCAATCGCACTTTTTCTCTCACTCCCAACTTGGTGGTTGGCTGCATATTTAGCCTTCCCTGGAAATGCCTTTTCAAATTTTTCTTTTTATTTTTTGACAACCTCTCATTACAAAGCCAAAATGCATGCAATCGTTCTGCATTGATAATGAAAGCAAATGATACGTCCATTCTTTGAATCCTATTTTCTCATTAACTATCTTCCTTTTTTCCCCCTTCGGAATCCATGGTCCGAGACACATCCACCTCTTTGTTGCCTGACACCGCGCCAAGCTGATTGCAAATTATGACCACTGATTTCTAAGGCTATGACGCAAATTATTGTTTAAATTTATTTATGATACAAATGTTTACAGCATTGGAAAACATAATACATTTTTGTTTGACCTCCTGCACACCATATTAAAACAAAAACAAAAAAAAACATATAATTTTCATAATTTTTCTTAAAAAGCTCCAGGGAGCTGCAAGGGGGACCCTAAAGAGCCGCGTGTGGCGCTGACCCCGATGTAAACACTTGACAGGGTCATGTCATGCATTCTGATTGAGGCAAGCTGCCCTGAATGTGGCATGATTCAACAATATTTCCGCTGTGAGTGGCTAGACGGCTGGTCAGGACATTCCAGCTGGCATGTTTAAAATGTGTGCATGTAAACATAGATAGTTGTGTTACAGCAGAAGCAAACTAAGCAGTCAGGAACATCCATGTCATTAAAACCTACAGAAATCAGTTCCAACTAACCAGCTGGCTTCTTTATAGCAATATAAGCACACACACAAACACATTTCCTCATTCACACAGACTGATTTCTGTTAAAAAAAATAAAAGAAACTATATATATATATATATATATATATATATATATATATATATATTAGGGGTGGAACGGTTCACAAAATCCACGGTTCGGTTCGGTTCACGGTTTCG